ATTTTCCATGTTATCAAAACTTAATTCTAACACTTTTAACTTCTTATTCTCATAGATGACAAGTCAAATTTATCCTCCAAATTCATTTAAACATTCTTATTCAAAATTTCTCTTAAAAACCCATTTTCTTTAATCTATCATAACTCCTTTATCTTTTGATTTTAAGATAACTTAAGCTTTTCTTAAGCTTAGTTATCATCTAAGGATCAAAACCCAACCTTTAATTGAACAAATAATCAACTAATGAGGAAACTTACCTTTTGCTTGAGCTTTCACGTGGAGAAGAGAAGAAGATGAAGAAGAGAATTGCTTGGAAGCTTAACTCTTCAATCATTCCCCACATGGGTATTATAATACTCATTAATTATTATTTAATTATTTTCCTTGTTCAATTACTTATTTGCCCTTTGACTCCTTTAATATTTACTAACAACTTTCAGGAAATATCTCCACATAAATCATTGAACTATTCAACTATTCTACTTTTATCCCTAAATTCTGGAAATTTACAATTTAATCACTAACCCTTAATTTGGGATGTTACAATATATTTTTGTTTGGGGGCGTTTTTTGTGAAGTTCGGGGGATAAGCTCAAACCTGGATGTAAGACATCATGTCTATCACCCTAGATTAGTTGCAGATCTAGAAAAAAATTTGTTGCATCAAATGGAATATCTGTAACAAGCTTCTCTAGAAGACATGAAATGTTTCGTGTCATATAGTTGACACGACCTCTTCAAGGGATTGAAGCTGTGTCGTTAAGAGTAAATCTACGGGACAGAACGTGCGACTGCGGGTTTTTTCAAGCTCTGAAGTATCTATGCTCTCATTTGATAGTAGCTTGCTCGCATACACGTCAAGACTATAACTATTTTTTGGATCCTGTTTACCTACTATCTGAAGTTTTTAAGGTATACGAATTTGAGTTCCCCCATAGGTAATGACAAAGACCCTGATGAGGTTCAGGATTGACTTCCGATTGTACCAAATTCAACTTTATTGAGGGAGCAAGGTCATCCAAAATTCAATCGAATTCATTGTGATATGGATATTCGAGAATGATCTAGACAAGACAGAAGATGTGGACATTGTAGAAACCCAAGACACACTAGAAAAACATGTCAACTTCTGATGTCATCAAATAACAATTGATGAGGAACTGATGTAGTTGTTTATCAATTAAGAATTCTTGTACTTTAATTTGCATTTACTTCAAGTTAATGTCATTCGATAACTGCTGATGAAGATTAAAAAAACGATACAAGAATATGAGATTGGACGTTGACGTTATATGTGATTATAATAAAAGAGATAATAAGTGACAAATTGAAGAAAGTTATCGAACACAATTATTAAATTTTATCAAACTAATAACAATTTGGTATTTGAATATAATTTTAAATACAAAAAACTTACAATAAGTATTAAATGGTAAATGATAAACAAATTACAATAACTGATATTAAATGGTAATAAACAAAATTAACCAAAATACATTAACAAAAAGTCCAACAAATTTAACAAAATAAATTAAAATAAATCCAACCAAATTAATGAAATAAAGTAAGTATTAAATGATAAATAATAAAAAATTACAATAAACAACTAAATACAAATATAACAAAAAAGTAAAATCTATCGATGTATGCGACGTGAATGTGTTCTGCAGGGCAGTGGCTGTCGGTCTCGAGGAGGATTTCTTCGTATCACTGGTTGTGACTCATCGCTGTCATCATCATCACCATTGTCGTCGTCGTCGTGAGCAGCTACATTAGGTTGATGAGGAGCTGATGACGATGAAGCACCTCCATAGAATAAGGACCCTGGAGGTGTATGACTGACTATCCCACCAGCCTACGAAAACTGGAAAAACTCATAAAACCCAGACATTGATGAGTGAGAAAACTGTTCAGGATGTGTCTGTGCTGCGGCCATGGGTGATGAGGCTGAACCTACCAAAATGTGGGCATATGAACCCCAAGTCATATATACAAACATAGACCTATAATATCCTCCAGGATAGGTCATAAAACTCTGTGACAGTGGCGACGACGGGGTCATAAAACCAGGTGACAGTGGCGGCAGCGGTATCGGGTAAGGGAATGGTGGTGGTGACACATATATGGTTGCGGTATGTAAGTCGCTGTAGACGGTGGTTGCTGTAAAGGTCCTACTGGTGCAGCTGAGGATGAACCAGAAGCACCTGCTCTCTGTCCACGAGTCGGGGGACGATGGTGCTGTGTCGGTGAACGTCTCTGTCGACGTCGCTAAAAGATATGCCCTCGTGCATCCTTGAAAAGCAGAAACAGTTTCCTATTACTATTGAATCACTCATAATAATCGTCAGGAACCATCAAGAGGTCAGTAAAAATGGGCTCTCTACGGGAAAGGCGTCGATGTCGATCCTCCCACAACACGACCCACTCATGATGCCTCACCAGCCAATCTGTATCGGTCTTGCCGCGTCTATTTATGCTATGCAACTCGTCCATATTGTGAGGTGCTTCCGGAATTGGTTGAAAACAACCAAATTATGGGAGCATGCGATCAGTGGAGTGCCACTCGATGATCGCATAACAGATCAAATGGACCATCACCATCCAAACATCTGAGGGGCCACTCAACTCAGGTGGGATCATCATCCTCACATCATCATTAGAATATGACATCCATTCAAACTAAAATAAATATATATAATTTTTATCAAAATAATAATATAATTATATAACTATAATCTAAAATCAATTTTTAAACATTAAAACGCATACCTGTGTGCCAACCTTCTGATCGATTAGAACCCTAATTTTTTCTAAATCATCAGGTAGCTCCTGATGATTTTTCCTATCAGTAGACCACTTATTCAAGGGAAAAAATTTATTATACACAGTATAAAATGATTAATATATGAAATCAGTTTTATAATTACCTCAATAATAGCGGAAATACGAATGGGTTCTTGACAACGGGACATAAAAAAGGCAATCGATACCATGTTCAAGACTGCAGCAGCAGGAGACATCCGCCGATAGCATTTTTCCTGTAGTCAGTGGCTCGACAAATCTCCTTGTACAGGAAAGCCAAAACTGCCAAGCCCCAACTGAGTGATCTGGCTAGATAAAAGTCGCCAAGATGTCGCAACCACATACAGTGAACTTGGTTGCGCGATTTGTCCGGCATCAGCAACCCTCCTATCAGCTGCAGTATGCATGCTCATGCATACATTTTAACTTCATCATCAGAGGTGTCCTCGCTCAACTCCCGAAAATTGGCATCTAACCAATTTAACGATATCTGACCACCGTTAAAACTTTCCGGGACACGTCCTAGATACTCCCGGCAAAAAACAGTCCACGAACCGTGCGCCATCCTTGATATCATATCTCCATCCACCGGAAGCCCCAGGTGCATAGAAACATCCTCAAGTGTAATAGTGTACTCTCCGCACGAAAGATGGAATGTGTGGGTCTCCGACCACCGCTCCACTAAGGCAACAATAAGGTCTGGTTCTATCGTACAATGACCCTCATATCTACCTATGTGACCGAATCCATCCTCTACTAAATACGGCAAGACACGGCTAGGTATCACTAACTTAAGGTTCCTAATAAAATGATCTAATACACAATCCCTCTCCTAAAATTAAATAATTATAAAAATTAATTTTTAAACTAATAATCATGCATTAAATAAATAAATAAATTATAACTAATAATTTAAATTAATTTAAAACGTTAAAATGTTATCGTATCAGCAAAATGTGGCGATATATGATTTTCATCCAAGCGAAGTAGACCGCCTTCCATTTTATATCTTTAAAAAAATTAATTAGATAAAATATTAAAAAAATTAAATACTTAAATAAATTAAAAACAAAATATTAAATATAATAAAATATACCTTAAACAGTTATAAGAGAATATAAGAGTATTTGAGAAAAGTTGAGAGGATTTAGTGTGATGAAAGTGATTGAGAATGAGGGTATTTATAGAGAGGTGGTGGGGGTGTGAACGGCCGGGGTAGGTGGGTAATTAAACCTAAGGTGAGCCGCAGGGGGCGCCTTTCTGACGCGTGTTAGATTTAAAGGTAAGGCACGCCTTTCTGACGCCTGTTAGATTTAAAGGTAAGGCGCGCCGCAGGGGCCGCGCTTTACATACGTGTTTCCCAACTCAGCATAAAGTGCGTTTCAGGGAGAGCGCCTTACCCACGTGGCGCCAGATCAGCGTAAAACGGGTTGCAGGGTCGCGCCTTACTGCAAAGGATGTTAGATCAAGAAAAATAGTCTGAAGGGTGCCTGATAGAGAAATATATAAGGTATAGATGATTTTTCAGGAAAAATGCCCTCATTTTCGAGACTGACAATTAGGTTAAGGACTCTATTTTCATAATCAGAAATAGAATTCAAATATTTATTAATTTGTATCTATATAAATAATACAAGTTTAGACAATAACTATTTAAAATATATATAAATATTTATTCTAAAACTATAACGGATAAGAAATTGGAGTATAAATTTAAATATCACTCGAATAATACCCAAATGTTAATATTAAGGGCTAGAACAATAGCAAATAGAAAGAATGCAATGGAAATGCATCTATATAACATATTTAATTTTTCAACAAAGAATAAAATTACATTTATATATAAATATTATCTTATAATTACTTTTTTTTTTTAAATAATAACTTTTCGTAACTTTAAAAAATCCTATCGTCAATAAGTTTTCAAAGATTAAAGAATTAAATAAATTTGATAATTAAACTTTACTCTTTCTTATTTTATTCACTATATTTTAATTCTTTTTAATTTTTTTATTAAATTTAATACATTAATTTTTTGTCACTTAATTATAAATAGACTTTTATATAGATATAAAACGACGACGTTTTAATAATTTTTTTAAATGATGTAGTTTTAACACCGTTAATTATTTAATGGTAGAATGGCAAAAATTTAATTTACTAAATTCAGTAAAAAATTTAAAAATTGAACAAAATAAGAGAGAATAAAATGTAATGATAAAATTTATAGTTTACCTAGTGAAAAGTCAATCTATGATAATAGAACCGAGACAGAGGGAATAAAAAAAGAAGAAGCAAGAGGCAGTGTTATGTTTTCCTCAAATCCACCACAATCACACTAATGTTGTCTCTGCTACCCCGAGACATTGCAAGCTCAACCAACATGGCGGCTGCTTCGGCAGCACGATTTTGATTCACAACGTCAGCCGACTTGCTCCTTATTTGACCGTTGAGACAACGCCTCGCTACTCGGCACGCAACTTCATTCGATACGACATCCCACAGTCCGTCAGTAGCGAGTATGAGGAACTCGTCACGAGAGGTTAGCTCATGTACGGTTACTTCCGGCTTGCAGATCACAAATGGTTTAAGGTACTGATCACCTGCATGCATTCAAAATTCCAATTCTTGAAGTATATTTATATGTTGCATGTGGGTGAAGAAAATTTAGTTTACCTATGGATCTTGAAGTTGCGAGTACCCCAAGTACTCGATATCCATTCCAATTTATAGCCCTACCACCAGCGGCTTCAACTCTCTCCAACTCATCAGCTCTGTCGGGCTTTGCAAAAACAAAGAAATGTCAATCGACACATATGTAGAGACGGAGTGAACTTATAAAATTTTAAATAAAAGACGAAAAGATAATTTCAATATAGAATATAAAAAAAATATCTAAAATATATAATGATTTGAACTTTTTTTTCTATGTATTTTATAGTGAAAATTTATTTTCGCTCCCTCATAAAATTTTAAAAGTTCAAATCTATTATCGCTCCATCATACAATTTTAAAAGTTAACTCCTTAATATAAAATTTATTTCCGTCATTATCTCTAAAGTTATGAAACCGTCTAAATGCTAATATGGACTTTAAAATCTCACATCAAATAAATATTTAAACCGTTGATGCAGTTAACAAATTTTACCTGATTACACTAATATCATCATGAAATGATTAAATTACTTTATTCTTAATAATATAAGGACTAATTTATAGTTTTTCCTATAATATACAAACTAAGTAGATACCTTGTAATATAGTGGCGTTTTTTCCTCCAGAATGCTTAGGGACCAAGTTGTAATTATAAAAGTAGTGCATCACATTAATAATAGTTTGGCAACAGATAGTATATAAACATAATCATTAAGCATCAGTAGCAAAGTGCAGAAAAAGAGTAAATAAAATGTCAAAGAGAAAAGGGGCCAAATTGAAACTCTTAAATTTGTATAATAATAGCAACATTAACCATAATCCTACGGCTTCCCCTACTTATAATTAGGATGGACGTAAAAATGTGTGTAAGTGATACAAATTTAAGGAGTTATACTAAAAATTTATGAATTATAAAATTAGATAATCAATAAAAAATAAAAAAATAAAAAAATATAAGAAAATTTAAAATTTTTAAGGGATGGGACGACACTTCAATACCCTCTCGATCCATCCCGATTATAATGAAATCATTTAGTGAGTTGTTTCCTCTTTCGCAGTAAAATTATTCTTTATTAACCTTTGTTATCAACAAAATTAACTATTAACTTTTTAGTATTTAAAAGTTATTATTGATAAAATAAAATAAAAATTATATGTAATTTTGAATTTCTTCACTGGTCTCCAACTAAATTTGAAACATGCCATATATATATAACTGTAAAAGACATAAACATGGTTTGAAATAATAAATATTTGTTACCTTGTGATCAAAAGACAAGGCCGTAGCAACACCGCCCCTGGACAAAACAGCTCTGGAATCCCCGCAATTGGCCACTACTAACCTCCCGTTACCGACCACCGCCACAACCGCCGTTGACCCCACCATCTCCTCCGCCAACCTCCCTTTATTCACCTCTTGATCCATCTTCTCAAAGCATCTCTCCATCGTTGTTCCCCAATCAATCCCACTCCCTTTCTTATTATCCTCTGCCATTTCCTCCACCAACAGTTTATGCAACCTTTCTTTACACTCCTCCGCCACCCTGAACCCCCCATGCCCGTCATAAACTCCATAAAAATCAAACTTTTCCCCTCCTTTGTCCATAAAACCTAACTCCACTTTCACCGCATCTTCCATTTCGCATCTCCGACCAATAACCGACAGTAACCCATGAGACGTGCGCGTTAAAGTTTGCACATCGTCGTTTTTCTTGCGAGTTTTCTCTACAAAACCAGCTAAAACGATGCCTCCCCCATCTGAAGTTGATTGATTGGACGGAGAAGAAGACAATGAAAGTGATATTTCTTTTGAACCGTTGCTTGGTTTTGATCCATGAAGACGATCATAGTCTTTATCGCCGCTGTTTTTGTTCTCTGTGATGGTTATATTCGTCATCGTCTCACATGTATACTTCAACCTTCTAATTTCCAACCTTCTCCGGCGATCATTCTTGGTTCTGATGACCGTAAGCCGGCTGATTTCACCGGGATCCGACGCCGTTTTCCGGGGATATTTGGTCAATGTCGAGTGAAGCTTCGGTATTTTCTCGTTCATTGGAGTTTTTATTTTTCTCTTTCTTCTGCATGAAAATCGAAAGATAAAGCGACAACTGGAGAACATAAATTGAATGAAGTTGATATCGATAGGGTAGGGGTAAAAAAGCATGGAATATTGACCGTCGGATTTCGTACGATGGGATAGATGGTAGCCACATGGAGATTTATGTGCCACGGACTCCGATTTTTCAAAGGATGGATGTGGACGGTTACAATTTCTCTACAAAACACGTGGAACTTGGATCTGGCAGTTAGTGATTCGGGCGAGGAGGGGCCCACTAGGGATCTCTAGAAATCGTATTACGTGGCGGTGTGGTGCTTTTAGAAGGACGTAAGTTGTTAAAAATGTGTTTGTGTCCGACAAGGAAGGTTGACCTGATGATAAAGAGATGGGACACGTGTTGAGCTGTCGTAGGTGAGGTGTGATATTTGGACCTCGTACATCGGGCCATGTTTTAAGTCCCACTTTCTTATTTTTCGTGTCCAAATCTAATATGAATCAAATGATCTCAAAAATAAAGAATTATTGTTATTTTTTAATATTTTTATTTTAAATATTACAAATATCAAGGGTATAAAATTTTAATATTAAATGATTAAAATTTAATTTTAAACAAATATTATTTTATATTTATTTTAGATTAATCAATAAAAAAAAAGTTGTCTAAATCTGGAGCTACGTCTCACAAATATATATATGTAAGTTTGGAAAATATCAAGGTGGTTTGGTTGGAGTTGGATTTCCCTTCAACACCTACTTGTAGATCTAATAAATATCATCATCATTTTTCAATACTACTCCATCTCGCTTTCTTATATTTTACATTATTTATTAAAATGTTATTTTATTTTATTTTATTTTGATTGGAGTTTGGATTTCCCAAACTCGACCCAGTTACAACCCAACCCGACTACAAATCCGACCCGGACCCGATTGTTGCTTCCTGTCATTACTGTGCAATCCCATCACCCACGTGAAGCCACTGTGCTGTCAACCCCAAATCTAATCCCAACCAAATTTCACGTTGCACCCATATCCTGCAACACTCCAACAACAACAGACAAACAACAAGCAAATAATTTTTTATCTCTATTATGTGATATGATAAAACCGGAAAAAAAAAACAGAAGTAAATGGGGCTCGGTTTTGAAAACATATAGAGAGGAGAACCGAAGTAAGAGAAAGAGGGGGACTTTTGAAAGGAAAATGTAATAGGGGTTTTCGGTTTTGGTTGTTGAGGAAGGAACCCAAAAATTTTGTAAAGGGGGTTTTCGGTTTGGGGATTTGAAGAGATAACAGGGAGGGTCTCGGGAATCAAAGGCTCTCCAGTTTTCCCTTTTTTTTAAAAAAAAAATGAGAGGATTTCCCCCTTTCAATTCATTTTGTACAAAGGGTGCTCGACCCGATTTTTTTCGAGCAAAACAATATTAAAAAAAAAACTTCCAAAGCAACAATATGCTAGTTCAAATATACAATATATCTCTTTCTATTCGAAGCAATGTGAAATAAACTAAATATGAAAAAAAGAGGACGATTATCATTCGACTGGATCTTCGCTAGCGATCGGGGCCTCTTTTCCAAGATTCGAGCAGTGAGAAGTAGTACATCGACGAGGCGAGCAGTATATTTGAAAATCGGGACGATCGGACGGTGGACAACGACGGATCGGAGAGAGGAATGTCGAATGATTTCGGTTAGATTCATGGAGTTTGGGGCCGATTCTCGCGAAACCGACCCCATATAAGAGACTCAGAGGCCTAGACGAACCTCTCGGTGTAATTTGGTGGCCATCGACCACCGACGGCCGACAAAGGTGAGTATGTGACGACTCGCCGATGTTTTAGAGAGGGGAGACCTTCTCTCTCTAAAAATAATTTTAAATGAAAAAATAAAAAAATAGGATGATATTTTTATGAAACTTTAGGGGGAATTACACTTAGGTCCCCCTATATTAGACGTGTGTTTACAAAATAGTCACCTAAAGGGATCGTTTCTGTAATTTACCCATTTCTGTTGCATGTTATATATTTTTGATTTAATTGTTATTTGGTCCCTATACTTTTAGGCGTATTTTACATTTTATCATGCGTAGTGATTGTTTTATTTTTTTAATATTTAGGGACTGATTTAGTGATTCTATCTTTTTTATTTCCCAGCATTAACTTTATGGTTTATTTTCTTCCAGGTCCCTCTATTTTATGCTTGTTTTTCTATTTTAGTCACTAGCCCTATGTTTATTTTATTTCATTGATTTTGTGCTATAATTCATGATTAGTTTAATTTATTCATTTTTATTATTTTAGCTTATTCGAATTTAGTCACTGATTTTTATTTTTATTCATTTTAGCCATTGTTTGTATTCTGTTTATTATTTAATTATAATTTAGATATGATATTTTTAATTTATGCATTTTAGTCACTAATTGATTATGATTTGGTTATTATTTTTAGTTTTATTTCATTATAGTAACTTTGTGCTTATTATTTTATCTTTGTGATTATTTTAATTCAAGTTCCATATTTTAAATATTTATATTTTGTCCTAAATGATTAAAGTTTGGTTTATTACAATTATAGTGCTTATATTGTGAAATATTTGCAATGGTTGCCTTTATTTATTGATGATTGTGTAGTTTAATCCCCAAATTCATCATTTTTATTATTTGGTCCATCATTTATATATTTTTTTAATTTTCCGCTAGTTTTAATATTTTCAAATATTATTTAACTCGAGGAATTTATAGAAACGCGCCTTAACTAACAAGGAATGTGTTTCCAAGAATTGTTCGAACAAAATAATATATTTTATATTCAAATGAATTTGTTTTTTTTAATGTAATTCATGTATGTATTTTATCTAAAAACTTGGGCAATATTATTTTGTATGGGGAATTCATGGAAGTGCCCCCTTAACTGACAAGGAAAGTATTTTCGAGAATTGTTCGCTCAAAATAACAACTTTGTATTTTTCTAGAAGGGATCGTAATTTAAATGTATATTCGAATTTGCCAATTTCAATCTTTAGATGACGTGTAATCGTTTAGGTATCGATTTTGGGCGTTGTAGGGGTGTTAATCCTTCCCCACACGTAATAGACTCTCGAACCCTTTTTAAAACAAATTTTTGGTTAAACGCAGATCAGTTTTTATCTTTTAAAATTATTTTTCTTAAAATTATTTTGAAATGTATTTTTAGGTATTCAACCTACCTAACCCAAAGGTCGATGGTGACTCCGAAAATATTTATTTGTTTTATTTTAAAACTCAACATTTTTCGAAGATTAAGTTGGATCGATCCCTGCAATGAGCCCTAAAAAGCTTAAGGAATGTTCTGATAGACATGTCATGACTTATTGTAACACGTCAAAATCACCATTAACTTTTTAACGGTGTTTGACCAAAATGAAAGCAAAACGCAACATTAGGTATGATTTTGAAATAAATAATAGTTAAGTGATCAAAATAAAACAAAGGTTATAGTCGATGTACTAAATGTGTAATTTACCATAGTTTTTAATCTATATTTTGATAATATGTTGTTTTATTTAATGAAAATGCAAAGTTTCATCAAATCTATATTCGTCAAAATTAAAATTTAATTTTTTAATGATTTTTTTTTTTTTGTAAATTTTGACTTTTATTTTTATCTCTTATTAGAATTCAACTCTAAATTTAATAAATCATTTAACAGTAACATTTTTTATCAGTCTAGTTAAATAAGACTTTATAAGACATAATTATATAGTTCCATCATACTTTATACCTAAATTTTATTTACTATAAAACTTTATAATATTTATTTAATGTAATTATTTAAAAAAAATTAAAGATAAAAATTTCATAATTATAAAAAAATTATGCAGGATGGACGAGTTCATGTTTATATAAATTAAATTAAATTAAATTAAATGTAAAATAATAATAACAGTATGTATTTTTAATTTTTAAGTAATTTAATTTTTATTTTTAGTATTTTTTATATTTAATTTTTTGAATTTTTTTATATATTTTATATTTTAAATTTCAAATATTTTATGTTTTAAAAAATGTCAAATAAGCCATTGAACTTTTTTTTAAAAATAAATTGGCACTTGAACTCGACCAAAAAATCAATTTAAGTGAATAAATTAATTAGTGCGGAGGTTCAATGGAAAAATTTGGACTCAATCGGTTTAGAAATATGGCTTATGGGAGATAAAAAAATGAGAATTTTAAGCTTGGAGTGAATAGAGAGAAACCTATAGTGTAATTTCCCCATTGAGAAAAATCATGGCTGATTTGGGTGAGATAAGCGCTGATATACATGGCCTTTTTGGGGAAAGGGCTAACCACCTTTTTCTTCTATATTTTCCCCTAGACTTTCTTCTTCTTCATAACTTTGTCTCTTCTTCATCTTCTCTTTTTTCTCCTCTCCAAGCTAGAGTAAAGAGCAATTTTTCACATTTCTTCTCCTCTACATTTCATCCGAATTTTCAAGAGTTGTGTGAAGCTCCCAAGAGCAAAAGCAAGGAAAATCTAACCCTTGGTTGAGTGAAGATGGTTTTTAGAATGCTAGGAGTTAAGGTACTTAGGCGAGGATCGAGGAGCACCAAAGGCATATTTAAGTTTTAGACGCAGTGTAATCATAGTATGCCTTGAGTTATTTTAGTAGGCATATATATCATAGACCTTGCTTGTATTCAGTCGTAACTTTATTTTGTAAACTTATTTTAAGCATTCAATATGTACTATTTGGAGTTCAATATTTTGTAAACTCAAACTATGTTGTTTATTTTGGATTATGATTATATCATTATGCTTTGTGAAATTTTGAGGAAAAATATTTTAAAATAATGGTTAGCCACTTGGTTGGTTCCATATGATACTTAAATCCTTCGGATTTGGGGTTTAGGATTTTGGATGTAACATCATAAACTCGAATGGGCCTAAAGTGCTACATTGGGCTACCAGGGCAACTTAAATTTTAAAACATTTTTATTTCCATTTAAAACATACTATATAGTACCAAAATAAACATACATGACAATTATAAAAACATGTT